GGATGGTAGCCATGCACCAGCGGCTGAAATATCAGCATGAGCTTCCTTTAAAGGTAAATATTGTAAATGGTTTCCATAGCACCCACAGTTACCCTGACGACAGTCACCCATCTCACCTTCTGCTTATTGTCCTCGCATGGTAGGTGCAGGACAAAGAGTCCATCACTCAGGGAGCTGACCGATATGCCTGCAAGCCAAACCGGGGTACAGGTTGAAACCCTGACATTTCCCACCACACGCCAGAGAAGACTACAGTCAAACCAGTCCCTGCGTTTACAGACCCTGGAGTGTGGAGTAGTCGATATGCTGTTTGACCTTGGCATCTTCCACGAGTACGGCATAGGTGCCAGTCAACAGGAGCTGGCGGGGTCGAGCCCGGTACCCCTTCCTGTCATATTTGGTGACAGGGACACCGTACTGGGAAAGATAGCCAGACGTGCAGAGTCAGACCAGGCAGCGACATGAGAGGCAGATACAGGAGATACTGTGGGTCCATCGTAATGGACGCAATCCAAACTAAACAATCCAACATCATCCTCATCAGCACCTTCATCTTCTCATTGCCTAGAGCCTGGAACACCTTTGGGTTGATCTCTTCCCCATCTGAGGAAGAGGGAAAGACGAAGGTTTGGTCATCAGAAAGCACACTAGCAGCAATTTGCATTATATTGGTGTGGTACCGTGGAACTGCATATGTGTGCAAACTCACTCAGCCGTGTCCCCACAAAGAGCTTGGCCACGCTCTGGGGATAGTTGTCCTTCTTATCTTTGAAAATCTCACTCGCCACCATCTTTTGCTCCATCTGTGGGGAAGGAAGCGAGTTACTGGGGACGACAAGCAGGGAGGGCAGATACGGAAGAGAGAATGAGGAAATGAAAGCTGGGTGGATGTGGCAATGGGCGACCAGAGCGGTGGGACGGCGGTGAGAAAGGGAAACCGCAACAAACCCCTAAAAGCACATTGTGTGAGCGAAAGGCCCTAAGGATGCGTAAAGTAGCAGTAACTCCCAAAGGACTATGGGTCAGCTGGTTGCCATTGCAGCCAGTGAACTGATCAAATCTGTGCAGTTCATGTGAGGAATGTAGACAGAAAGATCTAGAAAGGCAAGGGCTGCACATCGCTGCTCGTTCCATGTGCGTCTAGCGAGGACAAAAGCATACTGTCGACAGTGAGGTGACAGAGCATCAGGGCATGCTGCTCGATGGACCACGAGCTTCCAGCTGGACCACACGGACCACGAGCTTCCAGCTGGACCACACGGACCACGAGCTTCCAGCTGGACCACACGGACCACACCTCCCCCTACCTGGTGCTTCCACTCGGGGCTGATCCGCTTGCAGTACTTCCACACCATGTTCTGCATGCACAGCTTCCGCAGCTGATCTGAAGCCTGGCAACAAAGAGTGCGGTCAGCTTCGGCCCCGTGCGCGGCCGAGGAGGCGCGCGGACACCCGGCGAGGTGGGTACCTCGGTCAGAGCAGGCGGGGGCGTGGGCCAGCTCTTATCCAGGACAGTTTTAGGCAGGTTTCTCTTCAGGGTCATGAGGAAGGAGTAGCGGACATAGTCCAGGAAGTACTCATTCTCAGGGCAGCGCGGATGCTTCCGGAAGATAAAGCCCTTGATGAACCTGAGATAAAGGTTTGCGTGTTTTAGAGTCTGAACTCCTGCAGGGGGCATAGTGACTGAAGGCGTCACTATTAATGTTAAAGTCCTGATGTCCTTGGACAGGCCCAGTAAGAGCTCACCTGCGGATAGTATTGGCAGCTTCTCTTCTGCGCTTGGCCACCCTACGGGCCAGGATACCTCTCCACCAAGCCTGGACCACGATAGCTAGGGGCAGAGAGACAGGTCAGTGTATATACTACATCCCTGCTGTCAGCAACAGGACAAACTGCAGACTCCACAATCCCCCGCCAGTCCGTGTTTTTGCTCTCTCGCAGACCATAGGTTTACTCCCTACAGGGAGCTGGGAGAGAGCAAAAGCGCGGACTGGCTGGGCGTCCCTGAGCACCGGTTTCAGAAGCACTGCCCTAAACCACCAGCAATGGCAAGATTTCAAAGCGGAACCTGAGCACCTCACCTGCGTGCCTCATCTTAAGGTACTTGGACCTCTGGCTGTAGCTTTTCCAGCAGGCCTGCAGTTTGGTGGCTGGGGGGGGGGAGAGGTGGGGTTATAAGGCTGACAGGAGTATGTGCAGATCCCATTAGTGCTGACAGCGCCTCACCCAGGCTGTGCTTCCTCACTTCCAAGGCGTCCTCGGTGGCAAATAGCGTCTTGGGGAAGCGGATGAAGATTTTGGTCCTGAGGAGAGCCAAGGTGCATATTTCACTACGCATCCTCTTTGTTTATGCATAAAAAGACGCTTCCTTAGACAGGTTTTAGTGTGAAATGGTTGGTTGAGAACTGAAGACACGTTTGACAACCCAAGCATGTGTTTACTGAACAACATGGTCGAAAACCAAATTGTACGAGAAGCGAGACGCACGAGAACCAAGGTTCCACTGTACTGGGGTGATACACCAAGAGTAAGCTAAAGTGCAGATGTTGGTGAACGCTGGCTGGCCTGACAGACATACTGGCATACGCCCCCCCGCACCCAGCTCACCTGCCCAGCTTGTACTCCTCTGGCTTGTAGCCCAGGTATTTCACCAGCGTGGAAACGCCGTCGGGAAGGCGGCCTTGCCAGTTGGGCCAGGTGCCTGGACACAGAGACTTGTACCTGCGGCAGAACCAACATGTCCAAAAAGCCTGCACATCCAAAGACCCCGCACGGCCAGAGGCCCCGCACAGCCAGAGACCCCGCACGGCCACAACATTGGTGTTTGAGTGTCTACCCACATACAGTACTCTTAGGCAGGTACAACAAATGTTTAAAGCTATTTATCTGGGTAGTAAATATATATGTTCTCAGAAATTACACAATTTAACATTAGAACATATGCAAATTAAGAGTAACACTATAAAACTAACAAGAACTACTTCTGTTCTCTAAAAAGTTACTGATATCTTCTTGAACTGCTAGATGAACACGACCTCTGGGCACCTCAGCCATTCTGTGAATTTGTTACAATCAGCAAGCAGCTCACTTGACTAATTAATTCACTTAAAAAGCTCAAATGAGGTATTGATTAGCCATATAAGGCGGGTTAGTGGCCTTAGGTGTATCGAATGGCTTAACCAAATACTGGGGTGAATGGTTTTCAAATGGTTATACTAGCAGACTTTAGCAGAAATATCAGTGTTTTACACCAACATGTAACTATTAAACATTATTAAACATCATTTTCTATTATTAAACAATCAACCAACATTTTCTTTAACTACCGAAGAGCTTTGGAAAGTAAGGTACATCATAAAATTTAAGACCCAAGTCAAGCCTTGAAACCTTTTGCAGAAAATAACGACGGCGATTACAGCTCAGATCCTTTGACTTTCAGAAACACCGTCTACACAAGCAGCTTGATCCAGGAAGCGTGGCTCACCTCTGCAGGAAAACCTCATAGCGGCGTCTGTAGGCAAAGCCGGCCCGCCTGACACGCAGGTTCTCCATCAGGCCCAGGTACTTCACCTGGTGTCGGATCAGAACCTCGTCAAAGTGGCCTGGAGGAGGGAGGTACATTCATGAGGAGGAGGAGGGAGACTGGAACAGCAAGAGCAGGGTTTAGGATGCCGACACCATAAAAGCAGAGGACCAGGGAATGAAGGTAACAACCAAAGCAGGTGACAGACAGACGTGGGCTGGCCAGGGGCCATGCGGTGCTCTACCTGCTCGCTTGGCGTCATTAGGTTTGATGCAGCGGACATAGGAAGGTTCCTTGGACATCAGGATCTCCATAAGCTTTGCCAGGCTGGTCTTAAACTGAGTCGCCGTCTGCGGGCAGCGGAGAGGACGGTCAGACAGGGAGAAGGAGGAGAAGGGCAAGGAGATGGAGAGGTGAGGAGAGCGGAGAGAGGGAGCGGAGAAGAGCAAGATCTGGGCAGAGGCAGGCTGAGAAGAACAGAGTCACACTGTGCTGACTGACCAGGCACGGGCAGCGTGGGGGGTGGGCTAGCGACAGCTAACAAAGACACACACACACACACACACACACACACACACACACACACTCTGGAAGGCCGGGCCCCTCACCGTCTCCGGCCGCTTCTTGTCTGAGAGTTCCTCCTTGTCAAAGCACTGGCTCAGGATCTTGTTTTCCGACTGGCACGTGACCTGTGCAGCAGGACGGGTCGGTTAGCAGACACGCAGGTTAGGAGATGGAAGCCCCACCACCAGCTCAGGAACAGGACACTGCACGGTACCGTACATCCATGAAGCCGTCCAGAAAGGGACAGAGGGAACAAAGGCTCATAGGGTCAT